CTAACTTTCTTTCTTTTTTTTAATTGTAGCAAGTGGATATATAATAGAGCATTTGTCATTTCAGCATTTTTTCATGTACAATGTAGTGAGACTAATTATATTCATCATGTTGTGCAATTATCAGGATTATCTGTTTCCAGAATATTCCAGCACCCTCACCAGAAGCTCAGTGTTCTCTAAGCCATGAATCCTTCCTTCTCCTTCCTCTGTCACTTGGTAATCTTTCACAAACTTTCTTTTGCTGTATAACAAAAAATGCCCAAATTTAAGAATTAAAAGAAAAAATTATTATCTCTTACAGTTCTGTGGGTAGACAGGCTGGACTTATTGGGTCTAACTTGAAGTTCTGCATGTAAATGCACGAGAAAATTGGCATGGGGTGGAGTCATTTGAGGACTGAGCAAGGATGGATATCAATTGTGGTTTCTTTGCTGAGAATACTGGTGCTTCAGTCCTCTCTCCATCAGATTAGCTTGGATTTCTTACATGGTGCTTTGGGTCTTTAAGAGAGAGGAAGCAGAATTTGCTAAGCCAGACTACAGCATTATACCTATCAAAACAGTCAAAGAATCTCCAAAATTCAAGGGATGGGGAAATACACTATATCTTCCAATAATCATGTTGAAGAAGAACATAGCTTACTACATGTATCTGTGGCCATCCTTAAAATATCCAACCCACTATCGTCCCTTCCAAGGAGCTCTGATGGCAGAGTGGTTAATATATTTGGCTGCTAACCAAAAGGTGGGTGTTTTGGGCCCACCAGCCAGTCTTTGGGAGAAAGATAAGGCAGGCTGCTTCTGTAAGTATTTGTTGTTGTTGTTGTTATGTGCCCTCAAGTCGGACCCGACTCATAGTGACCCCTCCTTGGGTTTCCCAGGCAGTATCACTACAGAAGTAGATTGCCCAACCTTCCTTTCGAGGAGTGGCTGGTTGGTTTGAACCGCCAGCCTTCTTGTTAGCAGTCAAGTGCCTTAGGCACTATGCCAGGTTCTGACTCTAGGTGATCCTACAGGACAGGGAGTAAATCTGCTCCATAAAGTTTCATGAGGAACCTGTACCTTGACCAGGAGGCTGTCATTCAAACAGAACAAGGTGACACTACATGGTTTAAAATCAAGAAGGGAGTGCTTTAGGGTTGTATCCTTTCCCCACACTTATTCAATCTATATGTTGAGCAAATAATCCAAGAAGCTGGATTATATGAAGAAAAACATGGATCAGGATTGGAGGAAGAATCAATAACAACCTGAGATATGCAACGATACAACTTTGCTTGCTGAAAGTGAGGATGACTTGAGGCACTTACTGATGAAGGTTGAAGAATATAGTATGCAGGATGGATTATGTCTCAATATAAAGAAAACAAAAATCTTCACAACTGGACCAATGAGTAGCATCACAATAAATGGAGAGAAGATTGAGGTTGTCAAAGAATTCATGTTGCTTGGTTCTATAAT